ACCCGTGGCTTTGTGGTGGAATGGCAACTCGTTGCCTCTTCATGTTAACAATCTGACTTCGAGTCCCATTGGTGGATTTTATGAGACCCAGACAAGAACGAAGCAGAAGATTAAATAGCCTTTTGGGAGTCATCGAGAGACCTATTCATTTTATTGTGGAAAAATTCAACTATCAGTTCAACATTATAAAAAGATACCAAAGGTATGAATAACGTTTTCATACAAGACAAACCTACTTAAGCCAAATCGAAAGACTTTTGACAATTCTGAGCTTTTCATCTGTAACCACAACGCCTCTGCTGGGCTTTCTGGAGACGCTGAGTCCTGGGAAGGAGCAGTGGCTTCTTGTGCTGCCCCCCAAACCTGTTCTGGTGGCACGTGAGACAACTTTTGAATCCGTGGTACAAGCTTCGAAGTTGATAAGTGGCCCGTACGGTTGGGCTTGACGATGTCTGGTTGCTCCTCTCCCTCGTCCTCCTTTGTTGTCCTCTCTGGCATCAGCAGTTTAATTCTATCCTCCTCCTCTGACACAGCAGCTACCAGATCTTCATTTTCTATCTCATCCTCCCGGTCTCGCTCGAAGCATGCATCTGTGACGTCAAGTTCCTCATCCATCTCTTCGTCGGCATCTTCAGACACCTCTAAATCGTCAATGCTGCTGTCGTAGTGGACAAGAGAATTTTCGCTTGCCTCCATCTCCTCAGCCTCGGTAGCATCGCCGCTCTTTCTTTCAGCCCTCAAAGAGGCATCCTTCGTTTCTAGCCGCAAGCCCTTTATAAGTGCATCGACCAAAGCGGCCACATGACGACGATGCCGCATTGCAGCTCCAGAATCCCGCCGTATGTCCGTCGGGCCCCTGTCTGTTGCGCCCTGAGATACCGTGGCAGCTGTAGCCATGGCCAGGGGGTCACCGCTACTGGGAGAAGCAAGAAAGTCGGCCAACACACGGGCAGACTCTGTCATTCGCAGACTGACCTCATGACGATGGGTCTGCTCGAGGGACAGTCGAGTAGACAACTGACTGGTGTACTTTGTCAGAGTAGAATGTCGGTCACGGAGGTTCTGGACAATGTAAATTCGTTGAAAACTTAGAGAAAGGAATGTGTGCTATTCACAGTTGAAAAGCCGAAATCGGTGAGAAATAAACACTTAATCGCCGACATTGCTTCGGCTTGCAGGAGTCCATTTGACTAGAGAATCAAACAGAAATGAATTTGTATGTTAGCGCAGATAAAATGGGAAAAGGAATCTAATAGAAAAAAAAGTTACTCGACATATTGCGCCTTAGAAACTACCCATTAGCTTCAGGGAGAGTAAGCTATCCATTAAGGCTAGGTGCTACATCTTGCTAGGCCTCACGTCCTTGTGATGCCCCTTA